GATATTCTGATTACTATAGTATTGAAGTATATATCTTGAAGTCAGGTAATGTGATATTTCCAGCTTTGTTCTTCTTGCTCAGGACTACAGCTTTTGTGGTTCCATATATATTTGAGGAATTTTTTTCTATTTCTGTGAGGAAAGTCATTGGTATTTTGACAGGTATTGCATTAAATATATAGATCACTCTGGGTAATGTGGATATTAACAATATTAATTCTCCAATCCCAGAATATGGACATCTTTTCACTTTGTTGTGTCCTCTTCAATTTTTTCATCAATGTTTTAATAGTTTTCACTGTAGAAATCTTTCAATTCTTTGGTTAAATTTATTCCTACATATTTAATTTAATTTTTTTGGGGGGGTAGCTACTTTAAATAGGATCACTTTCTCAGTCTTCAGATTGCTCACTGTTGGCACATAGAAACGCCCAACTGCTATCTCAGTAGCAGCTCCTGCGACTTTCTCTTACTTCCTATCCGCTTTTATAGATTTGGCCCATAATAGGCCCTAAAGAAAAGATAGTCTTCTAGCCTCTAAAAGAAACTTTTTGTATAAAAATTAGATGAAGAAGTCACCATCATTTCTTTAATTGTTTTGCTTGGGGAGAATAAAAAGTTAATTTTAAAAGAGAGGAAATGAACTACTGCAGTGGAATAAGCAGTTAAAGCAATTTTGACACTGTATAAATAAAGCTTTGAAACTTATATTTTAGCTATTTCTGCATTCTGGAACTGGAGTTGATATTTTACATAAAATATTTAAGCCTTCAGAAGGATTAGGAGCTAGTTTTTAAATAACACATTAGTTATTTCCACAAACGTGCTATTTCAGCTAATAGCAAAGCAAAAATTCCTCATCTCTCTCTCTCTTAGCTCCTGTCCACAGAATCTTTAACTGGTAATATATTAGAATGTTTAGGTAAGTGGTACCTTCAACATTCCTTGAAGTTGGCTTAGAACAGACCCTTAAAAGGAAGGACTCACCCTGAGAAGTTTTTCAATCTTGTTCAGCAGTGTAGGAATAAGATGAGACTGTAAATTTCCAAGTTCTGTAGTCCAGGCAGCATAAGCTGGTAAAAATACTTGATGGGTAGCACTAACTACTCTTTCAGAGGGATCACCCAAGGCTGACAATAATAATTCAAAACCCTGTCAATGCAAAAGAGGTAAATATAGATTTTTATTTATTTATTTTTGAGATAGAGTCTCATAATGTTGCCCTAGGTAGAGTGCCGTGGCATCACAGCTCACAGCAACCTCCAACTCTTGGGCTTAAGCAATTCTCTTGCCTCAGCCTCCCAAGTAGCTGGGACTACAGGTG